TCCCCAGAATCAACTCCTACAGGAAACTAAGAAACCCTCAACTCCATCATGAATTACAAAATATTCAATTGTTTCTTAATACTCAGATTCTCAAATTTAGTCTCTAAGCAAACATTTTGGAGAACACACACAGTAAAAGTAATTAGTAAAACCTAAGACTAGTTGAGGTCATCAACTCTTAGGGATAAAGCTGAGTCGAGTCTAGAGTTCCAGTCACAGCTCAAACAACTACAAAGAACCAGCAGCAGCTTCCCTATTTACAAAGCAGAAGTACAACTAAGCAGCATGGAGCTCCTCTGTCCTCAACATAACCCTACGTAAGTAAAATTTGCCATAAAATTTTTCTATTAATAGCACAGCACTGTCCACAAAAAAAATTGTGATGACAGAAATATCCATATTATGTGTTGTCCAGTAAGGCAGCTACTATCCACATGTGTCTCTCGAGCACTCGAATGTTGCTAGTATGACTAAGAAACTAAATTTTTAACTTAGTTAACTTACATTTAAATAGCCAGTATAGTGTGCTGGAACAGTACAGCAGTCTAAGAAATTGCTATAAAAAATTTAAGGTACTATAATATAAGGACAAATACAAATTTCCAATCTGCAGACTGTACTTCCATATCAGAAAGTCCAATGCGAAAGACTAGAAGTTTGGTGGAAACAACTGAGATTCACGTTTCTTAAAACAAAAGTGAAAATCAGACATTTCCCACTCTTCCGTTGATAAGATAGAGATTAATGAAAACCGTTCAGCGGTGAAAGCTACAATTCTGGGACACATAACCAGTTTGGAGGAATGGAATGGGAGGCCAGTGAGTGAAAGCAAGACACTTCCCCCAGCTACAGGAACTACAGTTTAAGAACCACTCTAAGAGTTTCCCATCTTCAGTGGTCTCTGTAGTATTTTTTTTTTAATTTTTTATTGGATTTTAGGTTTTGGGGTACATGAGCAGAGCATGCAAGACAGTTGCGTAGGAACACACATGGCAGTGTGCTTTTCTTTCCTTCTCCCCTTCACCCACATTTGGCATTTCTCCCCAGACTATCCCTCCCCATCTCCCCCTCCCACTGGCCCTCCCCTTTTCCCCCCAATAGACCCCAGTGTTTAGTACTCCCCTTTCTGTGTCCATGTGTTCTCATTTTTCATCACCCGCCTATGAGTGAGAATATGCGGTGTTTCATTTTCTGTTCTTGTGTCCGTTTGCTGAGGATGACGTTCTCCAGATTCATCCATGTCCCTACAAACGACACAAACTCATCATTTCTGATTGCTGCATAATATTCCATGGTGTATATGCGCCACATTTTCCCAATCCAGTCTATCATCAATGGGTATTTTGGTTGATTCCAGGTCTTTGCTATTGTAAACAGTGCTGCAATGAACATTCGTGTACATGTGTCCTTGTAGTAGAACGATTTATAGTCTTTTGGATATATACCCAGTAATGGGATTGCTGGGTCAAATGGAATTTCTATTTCTAAGGCCTTGAGGAATCGCCACACTGTCTTCCACAATGGTTGAACTAATTTACACTCCCACCAACAGTGTAAAAGTGTTCCTTTTTCTCCACATCCTCTCCAGCATCTGTTGTCTCCAGATTTTTTAATGATCGCCATTCTAACTGGCGTGAGATGGTATCTCAATGTGGTTTTGATTTGCATCTCTCTGATGACCAGTGACGATGAGCATTTTTTCATATGATTGTTGGCCTCATATATGTCTTCTTTCGTAAAGTGTCTGTTCATATCCTTTGCCCACTTTTGAATGGGCTTGTTTTTTCCCTGTAAATCCGTTTGAGTTCTTTGTAAATTCTGGATATCAGCCCTTTGTCAGATGGGTACACTGCAAAAATTTTTTCCCATTCTGTTGGTTGCCGATTCACTCTAGTGACTGTTTCTTTTGCCGTGCAGAAGCTGTGGAGTTTCATTAGGTCCCATTTGTCTATTTTGGCTTTTGTTGCCAATGCTTTTGGTGTTTTGTTCATGAAGTCCTTGCCTACTCCTATGTCCTGGATAGTTTTGCCTAGATTTCCTTCTAGGGTTTTTATCATGCCAGGTCTTATGGTCTCTGTAGTATTTTAATAAAAGTGACACTGAATATAGCCCTGGCCCCAGACCCTATAACCACCGTGATGTTGATGCCTAAGAAGAACCGGATTGCCATTTATGAACTCCTTTTTAAGAAGGGAGTCGTGGTGGCCAAGACGGGTGTCTCCATGCCTAAGCACCCGGAGCTGGCAGACAAGAATGTGCCCAACCTTCATGTCATAAACGCCATGCAGTCTCTCAAGTCCTGAGGCTACGTGAAGGAACAGTTTGCCTGGAGACATTACTGGTACCTTACCAATGAGAGTATCTATCTCTGTGAGTACCTTCATCTGCCCCCCGGAGATTGTGACTGCCACCATACACTGCAGCCATCCAGAGACCAGCAGGAGGGTGAGTGACCTGCAAGACTCACAAGAGGAGAAGCTGACAGAGATACCTACAGACAGAGTGCTACGCCCCCTGGTACACAAGAAAGCCAAGGCTGGGGCTGGGTGAGAAACCGAATTCCAGTTGGAGGTGGATTTGGTTGTGGACATGGTCAGCCACCTCAGTAAAACTGGAGAGGATTATTTTGCATTGAGTTTAGCCAATGCAATCTTTAGCCATTGCTAAACTCAATGTTTAGCCAAAAAGAACTTTTAAAAAAAAGTGATACTCAATCACCCAATGGGAACACTATTCTTGGTTTACTGACTGCAGGAACAGAAAAATGGGCTGGACTAGTTAATCAGCTTTGGAAAAACCTTTACTAGATGGCCTTGGACAAGGCCATAGTAGAGTGCAGTCCTGTCTGGAATGGCCAAGCAGGGAGACAGAGCCTGGTGCATGTGTCCTCCTAGCTGGTGCCACAATATCCTAACTGCAGGCAGAGCTGATGAGAAAACACTGTGGGCAGAAGACTCCGCGTTTCTTCGTCTCCTTTGTTACTACCTCATCTACTCCACTGTCTTCCCTCACCTGGATACCACAATAGCTTCTTAGTTGGTCTGTTTCCACTCTTAGCTTAACTACAGTTTATCTTCCATACAGATGCCAGAGTGACCTTTTAAAATCAGGTAAGCTCATTTCTCTGCTTAAGATCTTCCAGTGGCTCCTACTCAAAATGAAATTCAAACTCCCCACCATGGCCTACAGGGTCCTGTTCACCTTCTTCACGTCTCTACCCACTGTCCCCTTGCTCATTCTGTTCCAGCTACTCCAACCTCTTTGATTTGTTCTTCAGACAAATCAAGCTTCTTCCCCACTCAGGCACTGAGTGGAAGGGTTTTACACTGTCTCATTTTGTCTTCACAATCATCTTGAGGTTTAAAGGAGGTAAATCCTGGACACATAGTTACAGTGATGAAGCTGGAATTTGAATTCAGGGAAGTGACTGCTGAACTCACAGGCTTTCCCTTCACAGGACATCCAGATGCAGCGTCTGTTTAACTTTCCCATTCCTACACAGGAAATCATGCCTCTCCTGAGGCAAACCCTTCCTTTATCAAGGTAAATTTTCACTGGACATACCCCTCAACCCTAGTCAAAGTTGAATGTCACACCAACACTGTCCGAAATACTCAGAACACATGGCTAACCATGAATTTCTACTTGGGCACATGATGCCTCTAAGACATTGATTTTCTAGGGTCGTTTAAAACTTTAATTACATTTAAAACACAATTACAGTATGAAAATCAAGTTGCTTTTATTTTTGTTTCAGAGCCTTATTTCACATTTATGTTAATAGCATTTCAAACCTATTTTCTATGACTTCTCTCCTGGCCACATATACTACAGTAACATAATGAAATCTGTACCAGTTTGTGACATGGTTGGTATTTTACAAGAGGCCATCAAGCATATAAGAGCTGAGTTTTATATTATGGAGGGGGACCGCTCATGTCTGCCTGCAAAATGACCTCAGTGAGAATACCTTATTGCAAAATATTTTACTTTATATAAAGTTGGGCTTACCAACTGCCTGATCAAGTCAATTTCTATAATTGTTTCAGGCCTCAGCTTCCCTATCTATAATATGGGGATGATAATAATATATTCTTTCTCATAGAGTTGTTTTGAGGATTCTGGGAGATTATACTTGTTATCTACTCAGCACAGTAAATGCCCAGCACACAGTAAGTGCTAGTTTACACAGTCAATGGGAGCTACTTTTTAAAAATTCATAAATCCTCCAGTGGTACAATCTGACTGAATGAAGCTCTCAGTGAACCAATGTATTCAATTACTAAACAACTTCCCAACAATGAAAAAGTGAAGAAGATAACAGTCAATCCCATGCTGACTGGAAAGATGACTCACTCTAGTTGACTCTAAATCAGTTAAAAAAAAAATAGCTGTCTTTAAACTCGGCCTCTTATCTTGACTCAGCATAATCTATGTCATTACTAACCAGCATGGACATTTTATTGACCCTTGGTTACTATTTAGATTCCTTCCCCTATTAATTCTCTATTCTTAGACTGCCTTTAGAGGTGGTTTTAACCCAGGAACATTAAGCGGGCTTTTTTTTTCCTTGTTCCTTTCCTAATGTGCATAGAGTAGTCAAAGCACTATCTTTGATCTTCTGTTTCCCACTGGGAATGTATGAAGGCACAAGCAACAAAGAAAGCTTCTAAAAGTCATTACAACAGGCCCTCAACTGAAAACAGCCTGAATTATGAATCTATAAAACTCAACAGAGTCACACTGGGTTTTCAGAAACACATCTGTTTTAAGAATTTATTCCTTCAAGCATTATCTTGTGCGTTTGTAATCACTAATGCAGGACACAACTAGATCTATTATATTAATAAAAATCTTCCAAATAGTTGGGGTAAATTCAACATTTCACTATTTTAGGTATTTGCCTCTTACACAAATCCTACCACCAGAGGAAAAAGGCAGCAGCCTTCCACTGTTTCCAACACCCACTTCCAGGAGAATACTTTTTAAAAAATGCTTACTGTGATTTTCCAAGTACATTTGCTATTTGGAGGGTACACTCCAGGAAAACCTTCACTGCCAATAAATCCAGACTCTCCAATAAGAATGCCGCCACATGTGAAAACGGGTCTGGGAAGATAAAAAAGAAAAGATATGTAATTTGAAAAATGGTCTAACAATCTGATGTTACCTTCAGAAAGGTGTAGCATATTAATATAAATAAAAGTTAATGTAGATTAATCAATGCTTGCACCATGTAAGGGATCCAAAAGCTTGCTAGCTCTTAGAATATTTAAATTACAGCCTGATAAAGCATTCAGTCCAGCTGCCATATGTCGCCATCATAATAACACAAGATTTCATATCTATAATCAAGTCCTCGGTACTGCGGCAATGTCTTGTAGGAAAATAGTAAATACATCCATTTAACTGGGGGGAGTGGGAGAGAAGGTAAGAACCAGGCTGAATGAGGAGCATGGTTTTAAACAAAGATAGGCAAGCAATTGGTTAATATAAAAAAGTTTGACGTTCCCATATTTGGAGAGATGCCCGGTTCTCCTCCCCCTTTCTGAAAATCACTGGCCATCAAAAGGGAGGCTGATGTTGATGGAGGTTGAAGAGGTGATGCCAAAGTTGGCCATGGGTGGGTCCCACAGCCCAGCTCCTGGGGCCGTCCGGAGGTTGGCGAAGAGTTAACTTTCCGGAGCGGCTCCGTAGGCGCCGTGCCGCTAGGGTTGTTCCCTAGTTTACGTCTCCGGGCAAAGCCTCTTGGGGAAGAAAAAAAAAATCCCCAGCGGTAAACCAGAGTCCACATATTTGGGCCCCAGTGCTTCCCTCCGCCCCCACAGACCTGAGGAGACAGGAGACACAAGTCAGTTAAGCCCCGCCACGTGGTGGCCAAGCCAGCTGCAGAGCCATCCATCAGGCCGGGCTGGGAAGCCACCAGGGAGCCCCGAAAGCAGGGATGGGTCCCGAGATCCCGGGCTCAGCCCACGCGGGGATGGCTGGCGCCTGCACCGCGCGGGGAGCGCAGGGTCTCGCGCTGGGTCACCCAGGCGCGCCGAAGCGGGCTGAGTAAAGCAGCTGGCGAGGCTGCAGGGGTGGAGGAAGGGAGTGGAGAGAGAGGGAGCCCGGGCGGGGGTCGCGTTACCTCTCAGGGGACTGCTGCCGCGAGAGCTGGGTAGCGGCGGCCAGCAGCAGGCAGAGCGGCGCCCAGGCATTCGCGCCCCTCATGGCAGCGTAGACGCTCGGGCTTCGCACCCCACGGCGAGCGCCGGCAAACACGCCCCTCCGCGCCCACCTCGCTCACACCGCCGCTCACCCTGGCAGCAGCGCTGGCTCACACCGGCGCTCACCGGCCCGCGCGCTCCCTCTCACGCGCGCACCGCCGCGGGGCGGCCCAGGTAGCCGGGGGGTGCGCGGCCGGCGGGGCGGGGGCTCTTTTAAAGGCGATTACGGTGCCGTCTGACTCGACGCTTAATTTCCCCTGAGGAGCTGCTCTGGCAGCCACAGGCCAGTGCTGAATATCCCGTTTGTTCTCCGGCGGCAGGAGGGGCGGCTCCGAGGCCAGAGCCGCCCCCTCTCTTGGGACTGGCGGGCGTCTCCTCCCGGCACCCCGGGACCCACGGGTCGTCTCGCGTCCCGCCCGCAGGGACCCCGGAGAGAAGAGGACCCCTTGCGGAGTGGTAACATGGCGGACCGGGCCCCGACGCCCACCGACGATTCTCAGGGAGGGCTTCTGGGTTTGCTTTGGGGAATGTTTTTCCCAGTGGCTTTTAAATAAAAAGTAATTGCGCGTGCCGGCTGCTGGAAAGCCTGGGGGTCCTTCTTTGTCTCCTTCAAAACCCATATCCAAGGAAAGAAAAGGGAAAGGAGAAGAGGGATTCTATCATATTTTAACTTCTGTGCTTATTCTCTTCTCTCTCTCTCTTACCAGATTCTTTTGTGTTTTCACTGGTGTGACAATGACAGGGGAGATTCTTCTCTGTGCCGGGATTTAAACATGGGTTCTCAGGTGAGCGACTTCTATGTGAACTGTCATTAAATGTCAAATAATGAGGGCGGAACCAAATCAGCAAATCGCACCATCCCATGTCATGTTCTGAAAATGATATTTCTCTGTTCTTAGACCTTTCCAACAACTTCTTTCTGTAGAGGGGTTAAAATTTACGGAGAATTTGTTTTTCTTAGAAAAACAATTCTAGCCTTGTGGAATTAACGGTCTCTTTTACTTTTACTTAATTAATTAATTACAGAAATATAATTTTAAACATTTATTTTGTTAAGGGCTTTCTAATAACCAGGGATTAATAAAAGCATAACAAGAAGAGAGTAGATTCATTGAGATTTTCAGTAATCACCAGGCATGGGAGATACAACTTAACTTTGATGCCTCCTTTGTGTTGTTCCTTCTAAATTGCTCTCACCTTTCTAAGCAAGAAAATTAAGTATTAAAGTAGTACTTATCAAGACTTCATTTTTAATAATGAGCTGTTAAGAACCTAAACTCCTCTGGCAAGGAAGTAAGTACAACTGGCTCTAGGAAATATTCTGACTTTTCATAGTGAGGCCACCCTGAAGCCTATACTAGGAACCAGAATATACCGACAGGACTTAGATTACCTTAACATTTTTTGAAAAAGTGAAGGCAAAAACATCAAACTACAACTTTCAAAAGTTCTCTAAGAGCACCACACCCTGTATGACATGAAAAAAAAGGATGACAGAATTTGGCAAACTGCTTTATATCCTGAAACACCCTCAACCCAATAAAAATGTCTTTAAAACAGTGAAGAGGAGAATAAATGGTTGTTTATTTTGCACACATTTCAAGACTATGCTATCTAATAGCATAAGTGTTTTTAGATGATTGTTTATTTGAAAGTAATAATTTTAAATTATAAAGTGAAAATATTGCTCAATTCACTTTCTGGTAATGATTTGTAGTCCTCGTAAGCCAGAAAATACTTCATTCAGAAGTAAGCTAAGTTTTCAAAATTTAAAAAACAAAGTATTAAATGTGCCTAAATAGATAGGAAACTATTTGGACTAAAATACACAACCATTTCTTAATTTGTAGATTGATGACTGTGTTCATATGCTCACTAAAGAGTTGGGAGTTTAACATTGATCATTCTGTTGTTGTTGACACTCATAAGAAAGATGTTGATTTTACCATGTAATTTTAGAATTTACTAAGACCATATTATTTGCTCTTAAAAACACATATTTGACTTGGAACTACAGTTCTGACCAAAATTATAAACTTTAAATGTCCTGAAAAGTTGATGTGTTAAAATTGAGAGAGACTTGTATTAGTTTGTTGTCACACCACCGTGAAGAAATATCCGAGACTGGGTAATTTATAAAAAAAAGAAATTTAATGGACTTTCAGTTCCACATGGCTGGGGAGTCCTCAGGAAACTTACAAGGATAGCAGAATGTAACTCCTCACAGGGTGATAGTAGACATGGGGAAGCCCCCTTATAAAACCATCAAATCTCATGAAAACTCACTCACCATCAGGAGAAAGGCATGGGGGAAACCGTTCTCATGCTTCAATTACCTCCACCTGGTCCCACCCTTGACACCTGGGGATTATTACAATTCAAGGTGAGATATGGGTGGGGACACAGAGCCAAACCATATCAAGACTCAAGTGTACTTTGAAGGTATGTGTGAGGTCCATCTCTGTGGGACCAGTTTCTGGACTTTTGTGATACAGAATTAGTATAATGGGACAGGGAGCTACAGAAACCCAGACAGTAGAAAAGTGGAGAGAGAGAAACAACAAAAGTCCTGCAGGTAGATTCTTAAAAAAAAAAAGGAGAGTGGTGGGTGAACTGATACTTATTTTTCAGTTTCTGTAGTTACCAGGTTACACAGAGAATCAACAACATGAGAATATGAAAATATTCACTAATGAACTGACCACTTATGAAATTAGGCCTCACTCAAACATTCTTTGCTACATAATACTAGCATCTAGCTGGGCCCAATATGTCAACATCATTGTCAGTTAGTCTCTGCTTCATTCATCAACCTTGTAAACATCTGAAAATGCAGTGTAAATCCAGTAAACATTCATTCTATGGTGCGACAGTCATCTTGTAAAAAATCTAGAATTTTCATAAGTTAGTTTAAACTGGGCATAGTGACTCAGGCCTGTAATCCCAGCACTTTGGGAGGCCGAGGCGGGAAGGTCACTTAATCCCAAGAGTTCAAGACCAGTCTGGCCAACACAGTGAAACCCCTTCTCTACTAAAAATACAAAAATTAGTTTGGCATAGTGGTGGGCACCTGTAAACCCAGCTACTTGGGAGGGTGAGGCATGAGAATTGCTTGAACCCAGAAGGTGGAGGTTGCAGTGAGCCAAGATTGTGTCTCTGCACTCCAGCCTGGGCGACAGAGCGAGATTCTGTCTCAAATAAAAAAAATTTTTTAAAAAGTTCAATGTTTTTTGATGTCTGCAAGCATACATTAGGAACAAAAGTAGACCTTCCCCTTTCCCCCACCCCACCCCAATATACCTCTCTGCCAAGAATAAAATGTTAGAGAGGAATTGTACTGGTCAGAGTTCTTAGCTACAAACAACTGAGTCCACTCAGAATGAGTCCCCTCTTCTGGTTCAAGCCGTAAAAGCAGAAAGTTCACATTACCATCAAGAGAATTAGGCCGGGCGTGGTGGCTCACACCTGTAATCCCAGCACTTTGGGAGGCTGAGGTGGGTGGATCACCTGAAGTCAGGAGTTCAAGAGAATTGTAGAAACAGTCTCCAGGCTAATTTTCCTGGAATAATAGCCAAACTCTTGCCTCATAAATGGCCAGTGAGAAATCTGTTGCCATTATTGCCACCAAGACTAAGCAGGTACTTGAACTTAATGCAGTGACCACCGTTGTGAGCACTTTGGATACATTTCTGCCTTGGGAAATTCAACCTTGCCACACTCCTGCCTTAAAAGCCAGACACCCTGTTGTCTCCCACAGAATAAGAGCTCATCACACAACCTGTTGGCTCACAGAGATCTCTTGATCAAACTCTCATACAAGCCTATATGATTGGTACAGTCCACATCACATGACTTGCAGTGTCTCAGCTGCAAGGGGGGCTGGAAAGTCAACACTATTAGGACGTGAGGTCACATAATGTAGAAATGTCTCCAAATATTAAAAGGCCACTAAAACAAAATGGGCAGGCACAAGTATGATTAATGTCCATGATTAATTGAACTACAGAGTTCAATTAGCTTGTCTGAGGAAAGCAGCCCCAAGGAGGTCTTGATAGATGAAGTTACAGAGTTAATAGGATGTGTTGAATGAAACCAGTCCACTCATCTGTCCCCGTTGGACTGGGTCAGGCATTTTGTTTGAGTCAAAGGTAACCACATGAAAGCTGGCCAAGCCGAACACAAGGGAATCCGCTGCTTCTTGTTGGTGTGGAATGAAACTTTGTCCAGTCGAGTCCCTCCATAATGAATCATTATTTCTGACTTTTACTGAGCATTTTTATATGCCTGGAACTGTGCTAAGTGCTTTACAAACAACATTTTATATAATTCTCTTAACAAACTTATGGGGTAAGAATGAGCATCACCATTTTACAGGTGAAGATTTTGAGATTTATAGAGATTAATCACTAATCCAAAATCTTTTTTTTTTCCTTTGAGACAGGATCTTGCTCTATTGCCTAGGCTGGAGTACGCTGGGGTGATCATGGCTCACTGCAGCTGGGACCTCCTGGGCTCAAGCAATCCTCCCATCTCAGCCTCCTGAGTAGCTGGGGCTACAAGCATGTGCCACCACACCAGGCTAATTATTATTATTATTTATTTTTTTGAAAGGTAGTCTTACTCTGTCACCCAGACTGGAGTGCAATGATGTGATCTCAGCTCACTGCAACCTCCACCTCCGAGGTTCAAGCGATTCTCCTACCTCAGCCTCCTGAGTAGCTGGAATTACAGGCGCCCACCACCACACCTGGCTAATTTTTGTATTTTCAGTAGAGATGGGGTTTCACTATGTTGGCTAGGCTGGTCTTGAATGCCTGACCTCAAGTGATCCACGTGCCTTGGCCTCCCAAAGTGCTGGGATTACAGATGTGAGCCGTGGTACCTGGCCCAGGCTAACTTTTTTTTTTTTTTAATTTTTGTAGAGACAGAATCTCACTATGTCGCCCAGGCTGGGCTTGAACTCCTGGGCTCAATAGATCCTCCTGACTTGGCTTCTCAAAGTGCTGGGATTACTAGTGTGAGCCAATATGCCTGGCTTTAAGACCTATAATATATAAGTAAAAAGCTGGAGGAAAAAAAAGCTGAAGGTTGGGCACAGTGACTGTTATCCCATCACTTTGGGAGGCAGAGGTGGAAGAATCACTTGAGCCTAGGAGTTTGACACCAGCCTGGCCACACAGTGACACACTGTCTCTACTAAAAAAATGTTTTTGTAATTAGCAGGTAATGGCGGTGTGCCCCTGTAGTCCCAGCTACTTGGGAGGCTGAGATGGGAAGATCACCTGAGCCCAGGAGGTCAAGGCTGCAGCGAGTTACAATCCGGCCACTGCACTTCAGCCTGAGTGACAGAGTGAGATCCTGTTAAAGAAAAAAAAAAAAAAAAAGCTGGGATCTGAACCCAGGCTAACTGGAAAACTCAAGGTTTTCATCAATACTGCATGTTAATCCATCAGAGCATTCAGGAATGCTAAGTACACATGGAGACAGCGTGAACAGACATATGCCGTTTATCTACTCAGGATCCCTTCCTTGGGGAGCCACCCTTCCCTGTGCCATGTGGTTCTGTGAGCACTGATTCCATTCACTGCTTCTCTAGCCCCCAGTGGGACATGTGACCAGGGGCTGTCCAATCAGAGAGCTCTCCTTACTACTCTGGAGCTGTTGTATAAGAGGTCCTTTCCTCTTCTTGGAAGCAGCATGGAAGCAAATATTTTCCTGAGAAAGAAGGACCAAGCCTGAGGTGAATGCTTCAGAACAACAGGCCACCCCACTTCCACATGGCAATAAGCCTCTAAGAATTTGGGAAAGACTGTTGAGAGAGTCCAGGGTTCTACCATGTCATATGGAGACAACTTGGGTGTGAGAAGAGCTATAAGGACAAGTGTTAAAAATATTACCTTGACCCTAAAAAAAATATGTCAACATGTGGGCCATTGATGGTAATGAGGACCATGGAGTAAGAAGTACTGCTAACAACAATACCAAGTCAACCCAAAACTTCTTGGAATTGTTTTATTTTGTTGACTTTTGGGGATGAATCTTTGCCTATAAAAGTGATTTGTATGAACTGTAGGTAATAGATATCTTTTTGTTTGTTAGGTATACTCATCATATTTAAAGAACCTCATCCAACAGATTGAACCATTTAGCTGGTTGGATGCTTTTGTAGCTAATTCATCTGGCTTTCTCACCAAGACTCAGTGTTACTCGTAACTATAAGTTGTGTTAAGATGGCAGTTGTCTGCAAGGCAGGCAGTGCAATAAGGCCACTGGGGGAAGTGCTGGGATGTTAAAAATGAGGGAATGCCACCAAGACTGGCTGCTAACAAGGGGCCAGGAGTCCAGAGCAAGAAATATCAAAATTATCAGGGGGTATCAGCCCAGATCCCTTTTTTCCCCAGAAAATCTTGGGGTCCCTGTGCTGTCCTCGCTCACTGATTCTCAAAGCTTGGGGCAAGAGCTTGGCATCAGTGCCTGAACCATAACCCACGCCAAGAAAGAACACTGAAGCTCTCTCCAGTTTTGCTCTATGGGCTTCCATCGTTATTAACCATCTCTTCTTCTTTTTGTTTTCAAGTAAAAATTTCCTTAAGTATGAAGGAAATACCCCTCCTTATGTAAAATCTGGAAACTATTTAAAAAAGAAAGAAGAAAATGACTCAACTTTGCCACCCAAATACAATACGAGTGCCACTTTAGTCCCCTTTCTTTCCAGTGTCTCTTCTATGATAAAAGTATTATCCAGGGATTTGAAGAGTTTGTTTTAGTTCCAAGTTCTTCTGGTTCTTTGCTTTTGGAAAAGCCACCAATTAAAAAAAAAAAAGCAATGATAATGATTTTAGTGTCAACATTACCGTAATAAGAGACTGGCTTAGAATGACGACTTCCCGAGAGGAATGATAGTGGATCTTTTTCTGTCTTAGCTCCATTCACAAGTAACTTCCTGTTTACTTATTGGTCTAAACTGCCATTTGGAGAACACCATTCTAATCATTGGCAGAGATAGAGATAGCAGTCTACCTCAACTCAAATTGCTGTTTATTTGTTCCTCAAGGAAAAGATTTACATTCATTAGCCACTAAACAATTTAAGTAAAAGAGTTTGTATTTCCCCTGTGAACCTGGTTATGTGTTACAAGACTGCTTAAGGGTTATGCTTCTGAAAAAGTAAGCTAACTCCTAAAAGGCATTATCCAAATAAATGTTATATGCAAGCAAAGTCTTTAGAACTATGAGACTGTGTAATTTACATTCTTTAAAGTTTTGAGCTTAACAGAGAACTGCAAAATTTACATATATACATGCACATATATGTGTATATATTACATGTATATATATACATATATGCATATTTATAATCATGGCTATGAACACATTTCTAAAACCATTATATTAATAAAAACTAGTTAAATGTATGTGCCCTGCGTCCTTTGTCCTCAGAATTCTGAAAATTCTTGTCTTATAAATGCTTTTAAAAAATCCCAGTATAAGCCTTATTTTCCTAAGAAACAAGTAGAACCCTCAATATGTATTTTTTTCGCTAAGATAGTTGCAAAATAGCTACATGGGAAAGCATCATTCTAAGTAAATTCTGAATGAAGCCAAAATACTTAAATATCAAACTATATTTATTGTGGGTATTAAATGTTTATTAATTTTAAAAAACAGCAAGGGACTTACCCATTTGATTGAATTTGATGGGATTATAGCTCTTCATGGAGACAAGAGCTTTTTCTCAGAGATACTGGAATTGATGCTTCTTAACAGAGGGATATTTTCCAGATGCTAATGACAGGCATATCCTGGCCCACTGTGTAAGACTAATTGTACAAATGGGAAGTTAGAGCAACGGAAACACTGTCTCTGCCTAGGGCTGGCAGTTGTCTCTGTTTTCTCAATTTGTAGTGTTTCCATTGGCAGTATCTAGAGAATTTTTTGTTTGTTTCATTTTCCTTTTACCTTGGAGGCATATTTAGGTATTATTTATAGGTGCTGGGTATTCTGAGCAAAATGACAGGCATATAAATATATGTATAATATACATATTACTTCCTATGTATTAGAATTTATGCATATTAGAGATTGATACATGTATAAGTATGTGTATGCATCTGTGTGTGCATACATGTCTCTCCCAGACAATGCTGGAGACACACGCAAATTTTCACTCTTTGAAACTCCTTTATCTAAATTCCAGACTGACCACCTTTTCTGCCTACAGATTTTCCTTCTAATGGTATGGCTTTTTTTTTTAACATTCACTAAGGCTTGATAAGATTTTTCAGTCCCAGCTATCCAAAAATCATTCATTTTCCCTCCCTCCCTCTGTTTCCCCCTCCTTCCTTCCACAAGTTATCAAGAGCCTGCTCTATGCCAAGTGCTGTACCAGGCACTGTAGATAACAGTATTGGTTAGAAGAGAAGTGGCTCCTCCTCTTACTGTTGAGAATGCTCTTTAAGGTTATTTCTTCAATTAGTCTCATTCATTTTGTATTTTGTTGGTTTAGGTCTTCTGAGAAGCAGACACCAGTACAGAACCTGATTCTGCAAAAGATCAATGTGCAAAAGATATATCGGGGAAATGTCAATGGAGGACAAAGGGAAGAAGAACCATGAGTAGGTGAGGAGCCTCTAACTGCAGTGCAGGTCTGACACCTGTGAGAGGAATTCAGGAAAGAAGGGGGTTTGGGCTGGAAGTGCTTCAGATCATAGTGCAGCCCTGAGTAAAATCTTGGCCAGGACAATAGGGAGCTCTAGCAAAGATGGCCTGCTAGAGGACACCTGTGTTGGGGAGGAGCCACCTGGCTCTGGTGCCTCTGACTTGTTCAGTCATTGGCTGAGCAGCCTGGCTAGAGTATGGCTTGGCATGTGTGATGCAGCAGATCCCAGGAGTGTGGCAGATGGAGGCTGCCAGCTAATGACAGTCCTTTGGCAGATTCTGTCTTGGAGGAGATCTATGTGGTATACTCCTATGGTTGTCACATGGATGGATTTTAGGGTTTTATTCTCAGAGGCAACTTTATTTTCAAATTCTCAGTATAGGAGTAAAAGAAACACTTCATTGCTGCCTCCAGTAAGACTACAGCCATCAAGAATTGAACTTTGTGACACTCACAGGAGTTTACACTTGAGTGCTTCTTGGTTTTATGAGAGAGGTCACTACGTTGGGTTATTTCAGTACTCTATTGAAAGTATATGTGGGATGTTATGGCCCTTACTGGTATCACAAATCTAGAGATAATCTTTGGACTGCATTTCTCCTTTTATTAAAACAAAACAAAACCTCCTACACTATGATTAACAGCAAAAGACTTGTAGCAGAGGAAAATAAAAATCAAGTGTCTTAGTCTGTTTGGGCTGCTATAACAAAAATACCATATACTGAGTATCTTATAAACAATACACATCTCTTGCTCACTGTTCCAGAGACTGGGAAGTTCCAGATCAAGGTGCTGGCAGATTCTGTGTCTGGAGAGGGCCTGTTCCTCATAGACAGCCCCTTCTCACCGAGTCCTCACATGATGGAGGGGGCAAGGCAGCTCTCTGGGGCCCCTATTTATTTACTTGATTATTATTTTTTTGAGACAGGGTCTTACTTTGTCACCCAAGCTGGAGTACAGTGTTGCAAACACTGCTCCCTGTAGCTTCAACCTCCTAGGCTCAAGCGATCCTGCCACCACAGCCCCACAAGTAGATAGCTAGGACTAAAGGCACACACCACTACTCCTGGCAATTTATTTTTATTTTTGTTTTTTGTAGAGATGGGGTTTTGCCATGTTCCCCAGGCTGGTCTCGAACTCCTGAGCTAAAGTGATTCTCCTGCCTTGGCCTCCCAAAGTACTGGGATTACAGGCGTGAGCCACTATGGCTGGGCTGAGTCCTCTTTTATAAGGACACTAATTCTATTCTTGAGGGCTCCACCCTCATTTCCTAATCACCTAAAGGACCCACTCCTTCATGCCATCACCGTGGGGATTAGGATTTTCACATGTGAATTTTTGGGGGACATAAGCATTCAGACCACAACACCAAGCAGGAAAAATGAATTTAAAAAGAGAAACTACAAAACCATGTGATTTTCTCCAGAGTAATTATGCAACTGCACTTGACAGAACCCTTTTCCAAGTTGTCATCTCATCAAAGATAGCTCTAGCAGATCTGAAAACTTAAGGAGTTCAAAGTATCTTATCCAGAAACATACCAGGTAAATAACTCTCTATCTTCCAAACTATTATCACCAAACAAATTTTGTAATAGCAAAACCAACAATTAACTGAACTTTTCGGGGCAAAAGAAAATAAAGGAATCAGTAAATGTTCAAGTGGGTAATATTCAGATAAAGATCTGGTAGTTGGACATTTTATTTTTTTTTAATCTCTCCAAAAAGCACTACAGTAATGAAATAAACTTTCTTCTTGGCTTCCAAAAAAGGAAATTAGACACAGTTAGTAGCCAGAAAGGTGATCAGATCCTCCAAAATTATTGTTTCTTCTCTATTTTTATTGAAGTTGAATCTCCACTTATCCAAAAAACTAGCTCCATTATGTTCATTTTTAAACATGATGACTTCTAAAATTGTTCTAAGAAACAGTAAATTCCAACACTTAAGTGTAGCACAGCTAATTATCTAGATGCTGTCCAATACAGTAGTTACAGCATCTAGATAATAGCTGTGTTACACTAAGTGTTGGAATTTACTGTTTCCTAGCTACATGTGGCTTATTTAAACTTACATTAATTAAAATAAGGTTTAAAAAATTAGTTCCTCAGTTGTACTAGTCAGATTTCAAATGTCCCAGGAGCTACAGCTACTGGACAGTGCTGATCCAGATGAAGGATTGGACTTTTAAGATAAATTAGCTGGTATACTGGATAGTCAAACAGCTTCTCACTAATAAATGGTTACACAATGAGTTTGACCTTAGCAAATGCTTTTAACTTCTCTCTTTACTATGAGAACTCCTTTCCTTCTTCCCTTGGTCCTTCCTTCCCTTTATCAATTGTGTAGCATGTATAAATCTTACAGTTATAGATTAAGATGTCTCAGAAATGGAACTTTCTTTATTCCTCTATAACTGAAAGTAAACCATCTCTCAAACCCCACATAGTAGAAAACCTATTCTTGCTAATTGACTCTAAACTAAATCATTTCCAGATTCTTCTCAGTTTATTTTGGATACTAACTCAGGCAATTCATTCATATCCTGGGTTGGTACACTTCCCATCTCTTCCGCTTCTCCAAGGGGCAATCTTATGTATTCATGATCTGATGTATTCATTCATCAAATATTTATTGAGTTCCTCTTATGCACCAGGAACTACAGTAGTGGGGGGCATGGCAGTATGGAAGACAAAGTTCTTGCTCTTCTTGAGGAGCATGTGTTCCAATGGGAAAATGGACACTAAGGAAGCAAACAAATACATGAAAAATATCTTCAGTGATAAAAACTCTGTAGGGAATTAAAACAATGTGGTATGATAAAGAGGCCTGTGTGAGCAGGGCATCCTTACTGTGGTAGTATTTAAAATGAGAGCTGAACAATAAAATAATAAGAAAGGGAAAAGAGCCCTTCAAAAGGGAGCAGCAAGCATAAAGACGCAAGTCGACAGTGAGAAAGGGCTTGCAAGGTCTCCAGCCACCAGCAAAGGGGATACTGCCTCACCTCCCTGACCCTGAGCAAAGCATGAATCTTCCTCAGTAAGAGGGGGACCTGGGCAACTAGAAAATTCTAGGGAAAAAATCAATATTAGAGTTATATTATATAAAAATAACAATTCTTTGATAACTTGTACATTCATCACCTTTTAATTTCCATTCCTTGCCTTGCTTATTTTTGGTTTTTAGTAAAAAATAAAAATGATAGAGAAAAGCCTAAATAGAGCTTGATGATACCTTAATTTGAAGGAAGAGACAAGAGGACCCTTTTTCTTTGATGGGAGCACTGTCTTTCTTTCCTCAATTGAGCACCCAAAACGACATCAAATATCGCAGTTATTTGGGACCTTCTTTATGTTTTAAAAACGTGTCACAAATAAATGAATTAATGTACTTCTTATATTCTTTAAAAATTTTTTATTCCTTGAGGATATGTCATGTATCCATTCCATTCATCCATCTGTCTTTTCATCCCCCTGTTGGGCAAATTTAATTGAGCATCCAAAGGTGAGCTCCTTTTCCAGTCAGTCTTCTGTGATTTCTTCAGCCCTCATTTATCTCCCTTTCCTCAGAATCTCTATAGCTCTTTCTTCACACTGCACAATTTAGCACCTTATGATGTTTTAATGTACATTATCCATTCTACTCATCACAACGGTGGCAAGAATTAGACAGGGTAAATATTGCTGTATTCCCATTTTGCTAATGACAAGAGTATGGCCATGGCCCAGAGTACTGACATACATGAATATTCTGTTATTCTGGTAAATATGCATCTGCTTACTTTCTTACAAAGTTAAACATGTACTTTTGACTTGGAGATCCCATTTCTGGGTATTTGCCCAAAAGAAATAAAAACATATGTCCCCGCAAACACCTGTACACAAATGCTGATTGTAGCTTTATTCGTAACAGCTAAAAGGTGAAATAGCCCAAGTATTTATCAATGGAATAGATAAACAAGCTGTGGTATATGTATACAATGGAAAATATTATGCTGGCTGGGCTAGGTGGCTTATGCCTGTAATCCCAGCACTTTGGGAGGCTGAGGCTGGTGGTTCACTTAAGGTTGGGAGTTCGAGACCAACCTGGCCAATATGGTAAAACCTCATCTCTACTGAAAATAGGAAAATCAGCCAGGCATGTGGTGGCTGCATTTGTAATCCCAGCTACTTGGAAGGCTGAAGCAGGAGAATTGCTTGAACCGGCCAGGCAGAGATTGCAGTGAGCCGAGATCATGCCACTGCACTCAAGCCCAGGCAACAGAGCAAGATCTCCAACTCAAAAACAAACAAACAAACAAACATATATATACATATGTGTGTGTGTGTGTGTCCACCATGCCCCATGTATATATATTTATGTATACACACACACACACACACACACACACACACACACACACATATATAACTGAGGTGGCCCTACCTATGACCTGGCCTTGGTAAACACTGGAACAGAGGGTTGGAGTCGGTGGTAGAGGAGAGAAGGAAGCAGGGACTATGTCCAGGTCTGTGGCTAAGCCAGGACTCCCAGGGAGTCGGACAGCCTCTCAAGACTGCAGCGCTTTCTGGCTCCCTTCAGAGGCTGAGGCTCTCCAGTGGGAAGGAAGTGAAAATTTTCCCAAAGTTTGGACTCTAGAGAAGATAGCTGCTTACAAGTGAGATGACTGAAATCAGTCCTTCTGGAGAATCTGATTTGGTGCTGGTTACTTGGAGCCCTATGGTGTTGAGCTGCTCCAGATTTCTGGTCACAGCAAGACTGGTGCTGAAACGAAGGTTTGTTTTCAACACTCTTTTCTTGTAAGAACAGTGCCCAGATTGTCCTTCTAGACTCTTAGAGCAAGTTGTCCCAGTGAGGACGCTCCGCCCATCTCTACATGGGCGCGATGACTCAGGCCACAGTTCACCTCGCCTCGCCACAGGGATTTCTTCAGGGACATATGACTGTCACCTCCCCAGAGC